CTATGTATAAGAGATGTTTATAGATAGTATACACATTACAACTGTAAAAGCACAAACGAGAAAAACCTAAAAAAAAGTTAAAGCTTTCAACTTTGATACGTTTTTAAAAATAATATTAAAATTGTTTTCAACAATACACAGCAACTCTCCATTGTCATATTAACAATATCATTATTTCATTTCTTAAAAACTACAAAAAAAAAAAAAATATATAAAAGCCATTTTAGGATTAGCAATTCAATTTTAATGTATCAACTAATCAAAAATAATATTGTTAAATTTAAATAAATGATAAATATTATTCTAAACAAAATTCATAGTTAATAAAAAAATATCTAATAATACATAAATGTGTACTAATAATTCTCTTTTTGTAGTTGAATATTTATGTATTATTTATTATCAAATAGTAATAAGTATATATAGTAATTCTATTGTTTATATAATCAATGGTAGTACTTATTTTTAAAAAAAGATGATTTATTTAAAGTTATTTTTCAAGTATGTAATTATTGTTATTATGGTCTTAAAAAAAATCTTGTAAACCTAATTCTTCTTTGTGATATCATGTTGTTGCAAAAATATTCACCTTTCAATTTGTTCAAATAAATAAATTTATTCACAGTAGTTATTGAGGCCACTTCTTTTGTTTCCTCTTAGATAATTATTTATATATGCCAGGATTAATATATTCATCAAAGTCAACTGTCGATGAATGTAATTAATATTAGTAGTAAATGTACATCGCCTGTAACCTGTAAATATGTAAATATTATATTAGCATATTATTATAATATATGTGTAACACACATAATCGCATTCATAATAATAAAAAAAAATATTTGTGATTTTATTTAAACTTTTCAAATTTTAGACACTAATAACCCATACACATCGTCGATTATAAAAATATTCCAATTGTTTTGTACACATTAAATACTTCAATAGTTTTATCTTTAGGAACAATTTATAAAATATGTACAGTATAAATGGTTGTTAGTAAATATTATAAACCTCGAAGAATTTTCCCGTGAAACCGGTTAAAGATTAGAACAAATAAAAATATTACTTCTATGAGATGAAAATATTTAGCAATGTGTCGTATAGCTCAAAAGATAAATTATGTAAAGTTTCATAACCCTAGTAAATATGTTAAACGATTGTTGATTTTTTGATTTTAACATAGTTTGATTTTAAAATAAAATTATAATATTTACAAAATGTATGTAAAACCATTCTGTGTAATTGAAAATAACATAATATTTCTAATGTACTTATGTACCAATTATTCTGAGAAAGTTTTGCAACAAATTATTCCGATGAAATGAAAATTTAAAAAGACGTGTGCAATTCTACCAATAATATATATTATTTATAATATGTCCATTGTTTTTACTCTTATATTTGTTAGTCAAATCACTTCATATTTTCGATTTTTGTAAGGAAAATCAAATGTTTAATTTCGTTTCTGGAGCTAATTACTTTTGTAAGACTATAAAAATGGTTGGGCTTTGTTATAATAGTTGTTTAAAGTTTGGGTGAACGGAGAAATGAAGTCATTGGATAAATATTTCACGAAGTTAAACATTTTGTGATAACTGATTAAATAATGTTATCGACAGTACATAATCATAGTTTATAGTTAATGACTTTTCTATTTTTCTAGCAATATCATAGGATAAAAATTAAAATAGTTTTCCCATCAAATAAATCACTTTTTAATACAACAGATATTTTACTATACTAATATTATGTTTTTTATTGATCGAGTAACTTACTTTTGTAAATTATCTAAGTATTTTTGCTAAAAAAAATTACTTAATTAATGTATTTTTTACATAATATATCCGTTAAACAAAACTTGCAGGTTTATATAAAACAATAACTTTAACAATGAATTGACATTTTCAAACTTGTATAATTTTTATAACGAATAATTGTGCTAATTTTGAGAACTACAAATAAGCAAAGTCATTAAAACTTGATAATAAGATAATGAGAAAGACATCATAATGAGTTCCAAGTTGCCAAGTTCAAATTTATACTTTCATTGAACACTTTGCTAAAAGTGTATCAACATATCATTGAAAAATATTATATGAAATATATTATTCAATCTGGTGCCCCATTTATGCATATGATGAGTATACACAGATTAAAATATTTCATTTGTAAAGTTTCAAGTATCAGAGAGAGGAAAAAACCCATGCGAATGGAATTATTAAATTTGGTATGAAAGGTGGTTCCCATGTGATTTTTTGTACCATTAATCATTCGTATTAACATACAAGGCAGAAAATTTGTTTTTATACTTCATTTTTCTACCACATTGAAAAATGAAAAAGTACAACGGTGTGTCGTTTAGAAAAGTGTACATATATACATCACCTATACAAAAAAAAAAAAAAAAAAAAAAAAAAGGGGATGATATTAAAAAAAGTAAAAAAAAATACAACACCAAAAAAAAAAAAAAAAAAAAAAAAACAGAAAAACTGTAACAGTATTTTCTGTTTCTCACATAATCAACAAATATAATATATTTAAATACTTGGTTTATGGGTATATAGGTAAGTTAACGACTTATATGTCCAAGAATAAAATATATATTTGTCCATTGACTTTAAAGTCTACAATACATGTCTTGATAAGTAATTATGACATTTTATATGCATTTTTTTCTCTATATACACGATTTATAATTGTGTTGACATGTGAAGTTTACAATAAATCCCACAGATTTTTTTCATTACTACAATACGAGTAGTAATTTAAATAAATAATATTACTAATGCACTAACTGAGCTCGTAAAGTTTTCGTTTTACCAAAATACACCATTAGTTAAAACAACTTTACGACCATAATGTAAAATAATACATCAATGTTAATGATAACGGAAAATGGAATAATGTTAATTATTTTATATTATCATCGTGTTATATTATTTATATGATACTCTATCACAAAAGTTACTTAAATAATTAAAAAAATTAAATACACCCAAGAACGGCAGAAATTTATGACTTTTATACACTTATAAATTAAGTATAACTGTATAAGATTACTTAAAAAATAATTATTTTGTGCATAAAATAAAAAAAACCCGTGATTTTTAATCAACGTGATTGAAATTGTTCTATAATATGCGTATATTATGTAAGTTATGGTTAGGTTAGTTAACTAAACAATAAAATTTTTCTAAAATCTAAAAACAATAAATTTGTAAATAATTAATTAAAAGTAAATAATGTATTATACAGATAACAATACGGAAGTAATTATTATAACGTGCTGTATGCATAACATATATAATTTTATTACCTATTGTTATTTATACATAGGATTTTCATTTTTATATTATCAATTTATCAATTTAAGTAAGATAGTTTATCGTTAAATTATATTATCAATATTAACTATCTTGTTTCCACCAATTTATTTTTTCTTACAGTAAAAATAAAAAAAAAAATGTTAACGACTATTTATCCATTATATTATACAATAACTAAAATTTAAATTCTTACTAAATAAGCTATTTTTGAATATTGTGTTAAAAATTAACACATATTTCCATGTTTCAACTTAACTATAGCTAACGACTAATTAATCATATTACTAAATAATTAATGAATTATAAAATGTTAATAGTAATACGAATCACTAATAATAGCTATAATACTATGTGTAAAATCACTATCTATTAATATCATACCCAACTATAATAGTATAGCATCAAAACATTTTAATAAGTAAATTAAGTAAACGCAAAATGGATAATAATCGTTGGGTTTTAATAATTAATGAAAGTCGGGGAACTATATTAACATAAAAAACATAACTGTTTTAATTAAAATACAAAATGTTTGAGCATTATATACAGTTGATATATGAAATGTTCAAGTAGATATAGTCATATAAACATCAGTTTTCTAAAATTAATTTTTATGTCGAATGGAAAAAAAATCAAAAACAGATGAATGGACTATTTAGGACTCATGTGAAATTGTTTTTGAAATTTCATATAATTTATATATAATATATGGGCCAACGACTGTTGACCAGTTATTATTCGTATAGTTAACCTCGAACTCTACCTACAGCGGTGTAATTGTAATGGGAATAAATCATTTTCTCGCTTGAAATTTTTGCAGATGATAAAAGTATTAATTTTCCTACCCTTCTCTGATACAAGAGACTGCAGAAGAAATGTACAAACCTTCTAAAATAAAAATAGTATGCATTTAACATACATTTATAAAAAAAAAATTAATATTATTTTTTTTAGAACAATTGCATAATATACATTTATTACGCGTTTCTCCAATTGTATAATACATTGATGAATTATCGACATTATTTCCTAATCTAGGTGACAGAAATAACTCAATAATATTATTTCATGTATTATGTTTACACGATTATCATCATTCATAACATAATTTTTTTCAAACAAATTATGACACCTTTTTTTTTAATAAGCTCTTGCTTAATATTTATTGACCATACAGATGAACACCTGCGATTTGTTTCTAAGCCTTAAAATAAGTTTTAAGATTTATGTCCAAACAAACAATAAATTAAGTCATAGTTTTGATTTTAGTAAATACTTTATTGTACCCCGCTCCCTTTAATATGTTACCCCGATTACGCTACTGGGTACCTATATAAGTATATATTATAATACGAGCAAATATATGAGATATATATTATATAATATATATCTCACCAAATGTCTAATAATAATAGTTCACATACCGGTAGCGGTTGGTTATCACGTTGGAATTTTAATTTTTCGCGTACGATTCGCACTCGCTCTGTATATACGCCACATGATACATAAAATGACTACCAATTTAATCATAATATTGTTATGTACAATATATGTGTACGGTAGAAACGATTTAATCGTCATCGGATGGAGGGACGGACGGTTGTTGCGCTCGGAAGAGTAGGAGAAAAGACAAAAACCTTTTCATTTTTTTTTTTTTTTTTTTGTCAGCACAAAATCAAACATCACTATACCACACAGTGTCACCCGAACCGATCTCGCGAACGGATACGACTCTTCCTCATTTCGCGCACGCGCGTGAAATCTATTGCGTATGGTATACTTGGTTTACAGAAGAACAGTGATAAATAGTATACGATCGACGACCATGGATAGTGCAAGATCCGCTCGCCACTTGTTGGCAGTGGCAATAATAACTGTGGCGATTGCGTTGTGCTACGCGGCCGCGGTGGGTGGAGGGACCGGACCTAGCCCGGGAAACGCCGCCGCTTTTGCCCCGTCGTCAATACTGAACAAATTACCGCAATCGCAGTTACCGAAATTTCCGGTAATCTACACGTACGGGAAATCCCGAACGACGCAAACACCGGTGTCAAATTATCCGACTCTTCTGGGCGGCAAACATCAACAACCACAGCAATCTGCGCCTCAGCCCCAACGACCGTCTCAGCAACAACAACAACAGCCACAAAAAACACCGCAGCAAACGTCTCAGCCACAGAAACGTCCGTCAAAACCGACGTCGACGACGGACGAACGACCTGGAGGACGAGTCCCTAACCAGCTGCCGGTGGCAAACGCTTCTGTGACGACTACGTCAAAACCGAAGTTGGAAACGACCACCCAGGTCCGATCCATCATCACAGCGCCACAAAAAACGTGTCCCGAAGGACAACGGATGAGTCCCGACCGGAACTGCAGACCCGACTTCACAGACCCCGAAGACGACCAATCCAAATAGTCGACGGACCGAACTGCACCACGATATTGTAATGAATATATAACACACACACATAGCAGCACTTTACGTCGGTACTGCAATTAATATTGTGACGCGATTTATTTTACAGACATCAAATTTTTACTCCCGTGTACTACGTGTAATATATACATAATCATACCATTTATTTATGTTTTATTTGTGTTCGGCATAACCCACGATTTTTCCATTTCTAAAACGTTTTTGCGTGACTAAATTAATGAATAATATAAAAATCCTTAATCACTAGAGTTTTAAAAACAATTGTAACTAAAGTTATTGCCGCATCACTCGTCTGCAATAAGGTCCACGACTCCACCGTTTTCCATACATCTACTGCAAAGATCTATTAACATATTATTATAATATTTATTACTTTTCTCGTACGAAATTCGCATTCTGATTTTCCGCAGTTTTCATAGCGTGTTCGAACGGTAATCAAAGTCGGTATGAATCAAATTAAATGAATCCTCTCCACCCGCGACAATAAAAAAAATAAAACACAACCAGTATCTCGTATATAATAGCATTCTTGTGACACGCGTCTGCGCAGTTATTATAAAATAAATAATTATTATTACTTCTATTATCGGCTAGCCAAACGCATACAAATGGTATATTTTTGATACCCGCTGGTGTGCTCAATGACATGCGCGCCTATATTATACTAATACGTTAGTCTTAACATTTCAAGGTTCATTATACGCGCACATATATTATGTATATTTATGTACTACGATCCGACAACGGCGTTGTTCGCGAAAACCGTCATCCGACAATAATGACGTAATCTTTACGGCGGAACGTCACCGCCTTCGTGCATTTACTGTCACGCCGCCAAACTGCATTCTTAAATCAATTTCAGAACAATAATGTTTATTTTATACGATAACACGCGACACGAAAACTTCTGTAAATTTTCTATCGGTACAAAAGAATGAAAGCCGATCTCAGGTCTGAAACATCCCCCCTGCCACCCACCAAGCGCCTATTACAGTAACAGTATTAAACGATATATTGTATCCGTTGTTGATGCGAATTGTAAGAAATAATATTTGACAACAATATATTGGTTCACACAAAAATGTACATTATAATTTTTATAGTGCTCTTATAATACGATGATCTTCAAAAATGTATAGTCAGTCCACTGGAAGTGTTCTGCAGTTATTGGTTATTTATTTTTTTTTTTTACCTATATCTAATTTTGTCTATATTTTTGTGTTATTGCGATCTTTGATGGTCATGTAATATTTATCGATTCATAATGTAATGAAAACAAAAACAAAACACACATAGGTATATACTACACTGAAATTCCTCATCATACAACTCGTCGAACATAATATTATTAAAATTGTACTTTTTTAAGTTTATTTTGAGTATTTTTTTTTTAGATTTACGTAGCACAAATATACGATAAGTGCTATATGGCTTAACTAAGTGTAATTAGATTACTGAGTATTTTAAATGCTTAAGTTTAAACTTAATATTAATTTCAATAGAATAAAAAATTTAAAAAAAATACAGATACAAACTTGTGTTTGATAATATCTGTAACGAAAACTTGATTGAGTTGTAATTATAAGATGTATAAAATATCGATAATATTTTAAATTATAATCACGAGCATATTTTACACAAATACCTATATATTATGATATACTTGTATGCACCAAACAATACTGATTTACAATATTTGTGACGCAATCAATTCGATACATTCATCATTTAGGTATGTATGTCTACTTTGATTTTATTTATTACCGCTGTATTTCTTTGTATTCCAAAACATTGTTTCAGACAACTAACAAAAGTGACAAATTCAATGAAATATTATGTACGCTTAAGATTTGATTAATTATGGCTAAAATATAATATACCTATTCACGAACAAAACATTTGAGTAAAAATAATACAATAATTCATCATTTAATATTTAAGATTAATTATAGCAATTAGCAGATAACTCTGAAACATTATTGACAATTAGAACCCACAAGGTTATAGTGTAGTTAAGTTTGGAAAGTTTACATGGCTTGTTTTAAATATTATATACATAACCAAAACAATCTTAATATAAATACAAAAGTAACTAACAATCGTAGATAAAATATTTCAATACTCGATAAAAATAAAAGAACGTGTAAAGGCGCAAAATATTGTGACATATTGACGACAAGTAATTTGTATTTTCCACAACAAAAAATGTGTACATAATTATTTTATCAAGTGTTATTCATTTTTCATTATCTTGAATATCTTAAACGGAATTAAGCGGATTCTTATCAATATTTAGCACCGATTAATAATAAATTATCGCCGATATAATTTACTATTAGCATTATAAAATTATTGTAACAAAAGGAAAACATCTTTTAAATAAGAAATGAGTTGAATAAATTTGTTTAATTAAATTTTATTGTTTTACGATCATCCACGATGAGTATTACAACAACAATTGGATGTTGAAAAAATTATGCATATTTTGTTATCTTTTAACGAATTTGTTTAAAATAAATATATAATTTTAAATTCCACGTATACATATAGGTACTATGCTTTTATATTACTGAATATATTTTTTTAATGATGCAAAAAAAAATATCGTGTATGAGGTTTGTTTTATATTTTAGCACGGTTATTATTATTATTATTTTTTTTATATATATATTTCAAATGCGCCCTTCTTTGAATTATTTCTTGACTAAACCTTATAGTAATCAAAAAATGAGTAAAATGTTATAGATAAGTTTATTGATCTTATTATTAGCTGACTATTTTCTCGTATTACCTAATATTAACAAAATATAATACTTGGTAATTACTAATTCTTATATGAGACAAATTATAAAAAAATAATGAATATCAATATACTATTTCTAATTTTTTTATATTTATAACTAACGATTTAGAATACTTGGTAATATATTATAAAAATTATGTACGTAGTTATACTGATATATTGTGAATTATGATATGGAATATAAATTTAAGATTCTAAGCAAATGAATATATTGATTTTATGATAATGTTTGTTTTATATTTTCCTATTTGTTATCACTAATACTTTGATTCTCAACTTTGAGAGTGATTTCAAACCCAATTTTTGATAAAATGTATTTATTTTCATTGTGTTTATTATAATTAAAACAAATAGCCTTAGAAACTTAAAATTTTCACCACAAAGTCTTATAATATTTAATATAATTATTTTCTATGCATAACATAAATTTAAATATATTTTGATTCTTTTTGATGTATTTTATAGACGCAAGAAATATCATACTTTTTTTATTATTTTTTTCTGTGAATTTCAATAAAAATTATTCTCTAGATCAAAATTGTTGAATATATAATACAATATTCCACATAAATATTATTCATATTATCTGTACAAAACTATTAAAAATACATAGGCATAATTTTTTTTAAAATATATTTTAGGTTGAAAATTTTATAAAATTTGTTAAAATCACGCAAATTACAAACTTCAAGTGTTTTTTAATTAACAATGTATATAATCTACAACTTTTAAAGGTGATGTTTGAAAATGTAATACAATATTTCTTATATGTAATTTATACTGAAACTAATAAATCTAAAAAATACGCAATCACAATTATTTTTTATAAACATGTGAAAAAGTTCAAATGTTAACGAAATTACGAACTATAACAATGAATAACGTTATTAATTATTTTGTTATAAATCAATAATATTATTCGTAGAGGCTTCAAAATTTTACGTATATTATATTATTTTAAATTTTACTCTTCGCATTGGCATTTTCAACATATTTTGAATTATTTTAAGATATTTTATTTATACTATGAACCTTTTCCCCCTGTTTTATTGTATTTACAGTTAACTCAAAAGCTTTTAATTATAATATTATATGATATAAATATATATACTGTTATGATAGTTAAATACTAATAATATAATAAAGACGCAAATGAAATATTTAGGCACAAATACACCACAACCAAAATCCCATAACCAAAATACTCAACACCCGACCTTATTGCAAAAAATATTCTCAACAACTAATATACATATAGCTCAATCGAATGCAAACACATCACTTTTATGAAGATTCCCTGGCTCAGCAATGTCGTCAGCAATAATGGTGTTGACCATTCGGCAAAACACACCCATGTTTCCTTTTTAGATATTTCTGTACCATGTTTCTCATATTTATATATTAAAAAAAATGCATAAATAAACATAATCAACATAAATCATAATCCTGGCCTGGACCATCTACAATGATATTTTCAGAAGACAAGAAACAAAACAATCATCATCCAGAAACACAACACTCGCCTATTAAACCTTTGGAATATCAATAGAAGATCCATATGTAACATTTCATGTGTACAGCTCACAGCAAACATACAATTACCGAATGTCTTAACATTACTTGACTATATACCCTATTCGGTTCACCAATTAACTTTTTTTTTTTTTACATAACTCTACCACTGAACTTGAACTATTATGTTCATACGAATATGATCTGAAGATTAAATACAAATATTCCAAATCCATGTAGTAATAAAAGTAAAGGTAAAAATATCATATTAAGAAATATGATAACATTTCGTATCTATCTTAGATAGGTAATAGATACATTATTATATTACTGTAAATGGGATGATACTGGCTAAATTATTAATATAATAATTTTTATGAGTAAAAGAAAAAATATTTACCTGACATAAGTATATTATATCAGAATTATTTCAACTCTGAAACGAGTAAATTAAAAAATATTGTATTGAACCAATACAATTCTAAACTAAAATAATCAATTTATATTTACATATACGAATATAATTTTATTTAACTCGTTGAAAAAATTGTATATGCTATTCGAGAAGGGGTGGTATTACAAACTTACACCCCTTTGTGTACTACCATATAATTTTAAGTTATTTCAAATACAGTAATTAGTACAATTATAAATTATAATATTACCATATTATTTTCTACAGCGTAATCATGCGCAACAGAATGCTATTGAAGAGGTTTAATATATTTAGCATTTTTAATTAAAATTGAAGGAACGTTCAATTATTTTAATATAATATTTTTATCAAGAAGGTGAAAAACTTAGAATTGCATTGTGTGTGTATATGCATA